TTTAACACTCACTATGAGATTATTGTGAGTAAGGCATTCAAAGATCAGGGGCCGGATTCTATTTAACGAGTCGTGTCGAATTGTCCGTTATGGAACTCGATATCGAATACGACAGCTCCTGACGTACCGTGTAATACGTATCGAAAAATCGATAAATAGAATCGCTATTGTGACAATTCGATATGAATTTCGACTCGACTCGTAAAATAGAATCCGGCAGCTGGGCTTTATTATTAGAAACTCTATTCTCTAAACTCTATTTCCAATTAAAAACTGTCATTAGACTATACAATGCACTGGTGAGACCGCATTTAGAGTATGCTTGTGTAATATGAGCACCACAGGCAGAAGATATCTGTGATATGATTGAAAAGGTCCCAAAAAAAATTTTTAAGATATCTATTTATTAGGACACATTAGCTTTCCAACCCAGCAGAAAACCGTAATATTACCTTCAGGATTCTGCGCAAAACCTAAAATTTTTCCGTAGAAACCGAAATTCGTATACAGAGTGGTTCTGAAACCGTTCTGGGACAGTTTTTTGACGGGTTGGAACAAACCTATAGTGTATATCCTTACATGATCTCTTATAGTTGAATGTTACGTGAATTTAATATCACCGCTAAACAATATGCTTCGCGAATGTAACAGATTGGTAAGGGAATCTGATATTGATTTATATACTACAAATACTTTTGCCATAAGATCTCTATTTTAATACCAAAGTTTTACTAGTTTTTTTTTCAATCTCTGTGAATGTTATTTTATATTTTTTATATTTTATATTTTCTGTGTAACTTAGTATAAGTCTAACTTTTAGGTTTCTTTTTAATTTAGCCATAGTGGATATTAGGGAGGGTATCAGTAAGCACTCTTGTATTGTAAGTACCTGCTGAAGGTGTATAGAGGAGTATAAAAAAATAAATAAATAAAATACACGCTGGATGATGTTATGGCAGAACTTAACGAGATTGATTGATTGATTGATAGACAAGAAATGCGATGTCTTACTGGGAAAATACAAGGAACAACTCGAGGAACAACTGGAAATAAATGAGAAATTGCAAATTGGAAATACCAACATTGAAATGCACTACAATAAATGGGAGCAACATGGGTTAAAGAACAACCTTATAATACAAGGAGTTCCACAGAACCAAAATGAAACTTTACATGAGATCATAACAAAAATTGCAAATGGCAAGTTGGAAATAAATTCATGGCCCACAGAATTGGAAATTCTTCGGATAATTTCAATGATGCTGGAAATAAACCAAAACCAATAAAGGTAACCTTTGATGAAGAAGATATAAAGGTGAATATCCTGAAATCAAAAAAGAAATCTAATTTGAACTGTAAAGATCTAGGCCTCAGCGGAAATAGCAAGATTTATTTGGTTCATGATCTGACTAGAACAAATCAAGAGCTCGTACAGGCTACTCTAAGAACACTTGGATTTATATTCAGGTCTACCAAAGATTTTACAAAAACAGAGAGCTTAATTACTTTGTACAACTCATTAATTAAATCTAAATTATAATATGCAGCTTTGATATGGTTTCCCAACTATGAAATCCATGTCGACAGGCTCGAATATGTTCAGCGCAGATTCCTTAAATATCTTAGTTTTAAACTGGATGGAACTTATCCTCCAAGGGGGTTTGATCATAAGTTGTTGCTACAACGCTTTGACTTCCTGTCACTTAAACAAAGTACAATCCTTGCCAGTCAACTATTTTTATTTAAAATTTGCAACAACTTAGTCGATTCTGGTGAATTACTGAATAATCTTAACTTCTTTGTTCCGTCGATAAACACACGAACTCACCATAGATTTTATTTAGAAAATTTTCGCACAAACCTTGCCAGAAAAGCGCCCACATATAGAGCCTGCTCATGGTTTAACCAATTATCCAATAACAGTGATATAGATCTATTTCACGGCTCTGTGGATTCATTCAAAACTAAAATAATACCAAAAATAAAAAGTAATTTTGATTGATATGTCTTGGTTTTTTTTATTTCAATTTTTTCATTTTTTTTTCTTATAATACAATATTTTTTCTTTTGTGATATATTTTTTTTTTTTTTGCTGATAAATTGTACCATAATGTACCTGCGACCAATGACCATTTGCAATTGTTAAACAAAGCTTATTAATAAGGTGTTAATCAAGTATTGTATCAATGTAGTGTACTTAATTTAAGTTTGCAATAACTGTTTTTACTACTAATTTTAATTGTCTTGTAATTGGGATTTATCCTGTTAGACAATAAAGATTTATTTATTATTTATTTATTTATTAAAGAGCTATTTGAGGCGGCCAGAATGTATAAAAGGGATTAAGAGTACGAATTTGCTTGGGTCCACGACAGTAATATTCTTCTTAAAAAGGATCAAAATAGTAAGACTATAATAATATAAGGGCAGAATATAGAACAACTGAAAAACTAGAGGGGCCTTGAGATAAAATGAGTATTACTTTATGAATATCCAAAGTATAAGAAACAAACTGATGAGCTTCAGTGTTCTGCCATAAACCAAAACTGTGACATACTCAGGGACATACTGGTATGGTTGAAATATGGCTAGATAATATAGAAGTACCAATTTATACAATAAATAACTATCGGGCAGCGCATTCCTATAGGGAAGCAAGAGGGGGTGGAGCGTCCATCTATGTGAGGGATAAGATAAGGATGCAAGAAATAGACAAATCGGGTGAAGATGAAGTAATAGGTAGATGGTTTATGTGTTACCTACTCAGTTACCTACTTTCGGCAAGAACAAACTAAAAGTAAGTGCAATTTACGATCCTCCCTCAAATTCTCTAACAAATTTTTATAAATTCTTTGAAACCGTGCTGTGTAAACATCCGAAAAACATATTATTTTAGGTGAGTTTAATATAAAGGACCATACACGGATCTTATGAGAAAAAATAAATTTCACAATTGTCATGAAATTGAAATATGTTATGCTTCTCGACATCCTGAACGTAAGTTCTCGTAGGCCCAAAAAGATCCTATGATTAGTTTCGGAGATACAGGCCGGGTTAACATACATAATTTTGACAAAAAATGCACATTTCAGAATACGTTGAGTTCAGAGAATGACATATTCTAGGTTAAAAACGGGTGGAAAAATGCCAAATTGATGTCATCTGAAGCTTTGAAGGTTAAAATCTTGTGGAAAAATGCCAAAAATATGTCATTTTTGGTTATAAATTAAATGAATGTACCAGCAGATTCTGGAGATTTTTCTTGTACAACTTTTTTTTATCGGTCCTGTATCTCCGAAACTAATCATAGGATCTTTTTGGGCCTATGAGAACTTACGTTCAGGAGGTCGAGAAGCATAACATATTTCAATTTCATAACAATCGTGAAATTTCTTTTTTCTCATAAGATCCGTGCATGGTCCTTTATTAGACACTAAGGCCAAAAGCCTAGCCAAAAGTGTATCCCTCAGTGTATCCCAATATATAAAGATTTACTCACCCAAAACAATGCAAATATTCAAATAATACCAAAATGTATATTTGTTTACAAATATTTTAGGCAACTGATATGAAAAGAAAGTAAACCCCAAAGTTAACCAACCAGAAAAGAAAAAACAAAAACAATCAAAAACATGTAGCCAAATATCAGTTTCTCCGTTAGCTGCTTATAAACACTTAACAAAAACGTAAGCCGTAAGGTAAGAAATAAAATTAGACCATTTTTTACGGCTTAAGTCTTAAGGTTGCACTATGAATTAATTGACCCTATTTATTTATTTATTTATTCAAAAGCAATAGGTGTTACAAAGAGTTGAAATTTAGAAGAAAATCTTGATTTAGTATGATTTGACTAGTAAATAATATATTACAAAATTTACAGATCACTTACAGTAAATTTATGTTCAATATTTTTTTACATATTTTATACTTAGAAAGTTTGAACTGCATCTAGATGACTTAACATCTGTATATGCAGGTTACATAGCTTATAGATATCATAGCTGAGGTAATATTCAAAATAAAGATGTGACAAAACTATGTGGCAACGGTAAATTGCTACAATTTTTAACTACTAACTTACTTTAATGCAGTAGGTTTACAATTTTACAATGTACTTAAATCTAGAGAAATATCAGGAATTTTTTTAGATTTGCGATTATAAATTTTAAACAGTCTTTTTTAAACCTAAATTTATTGCTCAATAATTTAATACTCTTTGGAACCATATTAGAGAATTTAGGAGCCAAGTAGCTCACGGATCTCTTTATAAAACTGGTACTGCAGGCAGGAATAACAAGATGTCTATTTGTCCTGTTTCTCATATTATGTGGGTGATTTACAATGGAAACAATGTCAGGGTTTTCATAGACAAATTGATTTACATGTTTTTATTGTTTCTGAGTCTTGCGCTGAACTCTTACCTTAAGCTCTGAAATCAGCTTAATACTTGTTTTCATTTATGTTATGTTTCATTTATTTTAATTCAAAACGACTCAGGGACTCATCAGGGCCCTTATTCTTGAAAGAGCGGAGCAGCGTTCTTTCGAATGCTCGGTCTTAGTCGCCCGTATTGTTATTTCCACAACACTGACAAAAACAGAGCAATCGTTCTCGTGAGAACCCTGTTCCCCGGTTTCGAGAATAGACATCAGCAATATGAATAAGAATGCCTCAAAGTTTACATATGCAATAGAGAGCGTAAAGTTAGAAATATTTGATGCAGAAAAAGGAATTGTCACTGCAACTTGGAAGCAGTCTTTCGGAAGGGAAAATTCTTGGGAAAATTGAAACATGTTCAGCTGAACATATGAATTGTGATCTTGAAATCATGATTCAATTTTTTTGCGAAAGAAAGCAGCTCTGGTTGCAGAACTATTCAATAAAATAATCAGCCAAGAAGCCAGCTTCACAGTAGAAACTGGGTTCCCTAACCCATGTACTTATTAATTTTAAGGAGCATTGTTTCACACAAATCAATATAAACCTCGATATAAACTTACCAGATTGTCTCACCATTGCTAAGGACCCCAATATCTTCTAGTAATGGTAAATAATGTTCACCTGAGGTAAGGTAATAATCTTGTATCCCAAATACGTTGGAAATGTGAACTTGCAAATCCTGGATTGTTTTGAAATCCTCTTTAATAAAAACTCTAGCAGTTTTTCTGTGATCCTGGAAACATCTACTCAGATCTAGAATAACGCGGAAACCCTTGGATCCTGCCATTTCAGAGCAGGCCTGTCTGCAGTCTAATTTTTTTGTTTTTGTATATATTCTTAAAGAGACAACATTTCAGCCCCTCCGAGAAGTCTTGACCGAGGCCTTGCCTACTCCGCGTGAGACATAAATTGCCTGAATTTCGCGTGTAAACGTAGGTTTGGATCAAGGAAAGTAAATTTTGATTTGGGGTAGGCTACGCGTTATTTACTTATGCCGCACGGCCCGCACTTGCACGAGATTGCTGATCGCGTCTTCATAAATCATAAATACAAAAAACATAAGTGTATGAATTCAGTTTTTTAGGTTATGAAATTGATGAGTGTTTAGTGTTTACAACTCTCGAAGTAAATGGGTACATTCGGCGGTGCCAGCAGCTAAGTTCAGCAGCTCAGCAGGGACTTTATTCTCGAAACAAAGGAGCAGCGTTCTAATGAAAACGAAGGTTCTGTCTTCGTCGTCCGTGTTATTTCCATAACACTGACAATGACAGCGCAATCGTTCTCATGAGAACGCTGTTCCTCGGTTTCGAGAATAAGGTTCCTGCTGAGTAGCGCAGCTTAGGCGCTGGGACCACCTACCGCCTGGGGCGCGTTCAGATTGAAGAGTCTGGGCGACGTCCAGTGCAGAGCGTACCCGATAGAGAGTGCACTCCGAGTGTGCCTGGCGATTCGCCCAATCTGAACGGCCAAGACGCATTCTCTCCTCATAACATCACTATTTATGGGATGCTTTGATTTTGATTTTGTTGCCTTTTCAAAATTCACTGTGTTCGTGATTCTCACATTTTTGTAAAATAAGAAAAAAGAAAGTTCAAAGATAATCAACTCTTATTTTATTTTATTTTGATTTTTTTGGTAGAACTATCACATATAAAATAATACCTCTTTACCCTTATTTCTTATTTTAATTTATTTCCTATTTTATTTTATTTATTGGATAAACTCGCCATAACTCATAACAATAATATTTACAATATTAGCCTTTATTATTGGTTAGAACATAAACATAACACAAACGCGCATGCGGGGCAAATTTTATCTTACCTTGCGTTCGATATTTTGCTCAAAGTGTAGAGCGAGCTGAGCGGAGCCGTAATCACGTGACCAGCGAGCGAACGGAGCAGTTGAACGCCGTATAAAAGTACCGGAAATTTTAATAAACGAACGCGAATGAGGCTGCACCGAGTACACTTTTTAAATAAACGAACGGTAAAGTCAAGCTCGGAGAACTCAGACCAAAATAACGAACGCACGGTTACTATTTTATGGGATGCAAAAGTGTGCGTCGGTGTGTCGTCAGATAAAAATCTACTGACAATCTGAACGGCTGGGTAAATTTTACCCAAAGCCATCTGAACGGTCAGAGCGCGCTCGGGCGACAACCGACGTTCAATCTGAACGCAGCCCTGGATAAGGCAATCCAAACCACGTGACACTCAAGATGGCGTAGCGGCCAGACATGGAACAAAAAACACACAAAAATATCTAGTTTCTGCCCGATTTAACTGTTTAGGTAGCTAGTCAATAAATATTTTATTAAATAATCAAAATCAAAGTTGCAAGCAAAACTCTAAAGGCCGTTTTACAGCTTGCAAGAAAACTTGAATGCCATTTTTTGCATGCAAAAAAATTGCCTTCAAGATTTCTTGCACGTCGCTTTACACCTTGCAATTTGACTTGTTTCTTTCTCTAACCTTAACCATACTTTTTTGTTTTTAATGTTGTGTTGTTGATTTTTGCATTTTCCAAAAATAAAAAAGTTATTATTAGTCGATATAAAAAGAAGAAAGCAATAGCAGCAACTTTAGGGATCATAATTGCTAAAAATTCCCCAGCTTGCACGAAAATCTTCAAGAAAAATGGCACCAAACCGATTGCGTGCAATGCCATTCAAGTTTCAAGAATCTTGCAAAAACCAATCAGCTGACTCACTTCTGCGCATGCCCTCGTTCAAGTTTCTTGCATATTGCAAAAAGAATTGCAAGCTGTAAAACGGCCTTAAGCAAAATAATTTAAAATACGCATCAAAACATATTCAAAATAAACTTGCTTGGCAGCCACGCCATATTGAATTTTACTTCTTGACAGATGGATTGGATTGCCTAAATGTACCGAAGTTCGTATTAGTTGTATTCCTTTCACACCTAGGAGGAGCTCCGGAACAGCTCCGAGGCGTTACGCGCTTATTCCTTTCGAAAAGTGTTTGTTGCACCTGGGTGCTCAAGCTCGACTCAAACCATTTAGGGCGGGTATTATAAAACTACTTTGAGAGTTAACTTCTGGAATTACATGTAATTCATAAAGTTAACTGTCAAAGCAGTTTTATAATACCCGCCCTTAAATGCATGAAAGCCAGCGTATCTGTTCCTTTCAAATCGGGGTCGACTAACACCGGAGCGAGTAGCTCAAATGCTTCAAACTCTTGAAAGGAATACAACTACTGCTGGGCCGAGTTCAGAAATAACGCACGGGGTGCGAGTGCGATTTTATGGGTGTGTCTGAATTGACAATTGGCCACTGGGCCCATAGCACCGTCTAGCATTTTTGAACAGCTAGGGCATCACACCGGTGTCACACTCACACTGAGTGTGTCATTCCTGAACTCGCCCCTGGTCTAGGGTAAAGGTAGGCGTCCACTAGGCGGATCAGGCCGGGGCAGATCGCATCGCAAAAATTTTAACAACTGCGAACTGCATAGTATTTCACGTTTAGTAACGACGGAAGGCGGACGCCGGTGGTCGGGCCGACGCGAGATTTGTCATTCATCGATCCATCATCCATCGCTAAACAAGTTTGTTCGGATCGATACAGAAACTAGTAAGTTTGTTCTTTGTTCAGGGTGAAAAAATCCTATTTATTGTTACTGTGGAAGAAACTGCAACATGGACAATATACCTATTGTACTTACTTACAAGATTGTTTCATTATTTCTCGTACTTGCTGCTAGGGTTGCCAACCCTCCCGTTTCAGGCGGGAGACTCCCGCTTTTTTGTCATGCCTCCCGCCGTGAAACATTATGGCAAAAACTCCCGCTTTCGAAAAAAACTCCCGCTAACTCCCGCTTTTCAAAAATTTCGAATTTGGATAGAGAAAGATAATAGGGCATCATCTTTATTAAGTAGGGTTTGGATAGAAAAAAGCGCCTACACATAAACTTGAACATAAGAAATATTAATGTTTTTTCTCGTTCACCACCTAAATCATATTATGAATATTAGGTTTGTTTGTGTTCGGACTTAGTTCAGAATCAGTTATGATTGAACTGCGCTTGCGTATTTGGTCATATCGATCATATATAATCAACTGCGCAAGCGCAGTTCAATTTAGAACTGATTCTGGAATAAGTCCAAACAACCTATCATTGACAGTTCTGAGGCTGACCATTTGACTGGCTGTTTTCAACGACTTTCGTTAAAATTTGGGCGTGGCACCCAAAAATTCAAACCTCCCGGTTTTCCATTTCAAAAACTTGGCAACCCTACTTCCTACCATATATTTTTTTTTCTATGTTGATCATCATGATATCTAGGATCTCCGGTATCATAGATCTTTGTGGGATATCAATGAAGTCAATAAGTCTTTATTCATTGTGCAAATATATTAACAGCTGATTATTATTATTGTTCAATATTCAAATTCTGCCACTATACAGGGTGTCCACTTAGTGCGATATCGGGCGATATCTCCTATTACAGGGTGATGCAAGAAAAAAAAATCAAATTACAAAGTTTTTTGATACTCTAATATGCATAAGTTAAAAATATTTTTGAATATACAGGGTGCTCCTTAAATGGGGTATGCGACAGAGCTCTGTTTTTTCAAATAGAACACCCTGTATGTGATTATATTTTTGGATTCTACGTAAAATTTTGAGCAGATTTCATGTAATGTACCCTATACCTAAGTTCAACTGTTTTGTAAATATTGACAGTTGAAAAGTTACTTTTTGCAACTTTCATAGGCTGTAAAACCTAAACGGTTAATTTTAGACGAAAACCGATTTTACATTCCTATCCTAGATTTTTATAAACTATCATTTGACACCAACTCTAAAAAAATCAGTTAAATTTAATCTCCAGTTAAATTCACAGTTGGTGTCAAGTGATAGTTTATGAAAATCTAAGAAAGGAATGTTAAATCGGTTTTCCTCTAAAATTAACCGTTTAGGTTTTACAGCCTGTCAAAGTTGCAAAAAGTCAATTTTCAACTGTCCAAAACAGTTGAACTAAGGTATAGGGTATATCACATGAAACCTGCTCAGAATTTTACGTAGAATTCAAATATGCAATCACATACAGGGTGTTCCATTTAAAATAACAAAGTTCTGTCGCATACCCAAAAACGGAGCACCCTGTATATTAAAAAATACTTTTAACTATTGCATATTAGAGTATCAAACAAATTTGTAATTTAATTTTTTTTTCTTGCATCACCCTGTAAGAAGATATCGTCCGATATCGCACTAAGTGGACACCCTGTATAACGACGGATTGACGGATTTTGGCGATGCGATGATGCTATCCACCTAGTATACGCGTACCTTTTAAGGCAAACTACCAAACGCGTCGTAGGTACCTATTCGTAATCAAAATCCTCTTTGATTTAGTTTTTATTTGAAGACCCGGTATACCAACAGCTATTGCAAAACCAGCCGGCCATAAGACTCATTCACACGGTGCAAGTAGCTTCAGCAAGTACTAACGCCAGTAACTAAAATTTAGTAACTTGAATCGTGTAAACACCTTAATTTAGTACTTGAGCAAGTAAACTCTTGAGTCAAGTCGTGAATATCAGCAGTTTCTATTTACTTGAGCAAGTGGCTTCCCCCCTCTCGTTTATTTTACTGACTTTAGCGGACTGGACGCGTGTACACAGGATTTGTATTTAGTGATTAGTGAAGTACCTACATTAGTAGGGTTTGAATTTGAATATTTTGAGTATTGTGTTGCACCTATTAATTGCCTTTGCAATGTCGTCTCGTTGGACGGAAGAAACCACAATTAAATTTGTGCAAGAGTACAGAGAACATTCGATCCAATTTAATTTTTGCTGGAATAGCAGAGGTCTCATTACAGTATCTTGTGTGCTAATCATGGGTTTTGTTTTGAAAAGTAACTTATTGAATTGTTCTTTTGTCATCCGCATACAATTTCGATATTCTTCTGGATCTTCCTTAACCAGTTCAACGAATAATGTGGAAGATGCACCATGTGTTTCTCTACGAGTTATCCATGGTCGAATCCAACAACGTTTTTCTTTTTCAATTTCTTTCAATAAAATTTCTGATAATTCTCCACAAACACTCAAAATGCATTTTTGAATTTTTTTTCGAACAACTGTACTTGCTGCCATTTCACCTCAATTTGCACTAATCACTAAATTCGACTTAAAATCAGTAAAATGCATGTAGACACTCACTTGCACGAAAACAAAGATAATTTAGCTACTGGCGTTAGTACTTGCTCAAGGTACTTGCACCGTGTAAATGAGGCTTTACGAACTACTCTAACCGAAGATAAGTTTAGAGGAACAGTTCGACAGAATGGACGGCCGGCTCGCATTTAGGCAGAACGTACCGGATTTTTTGGAATTTGAGGAGCATAGAGCATAGATTCAACCATCAAGCACATTCGAGAATATTTTATACAGTCCAGTAGGGTCTGGGAGAGATACTACGGGTGAAGGTCGATAATTTGCTTAAAATTTATGAAAAATTATTGATGCTTTGTAGGGCTCTCTTGGATTTTAAGAACGGGGTAGAGTTTAAGATTTGTTAGGTTGAACAAGCTAATGTGGCGGTGGCATATTTTGTGCACTGTTTCCAAATAGGCAGGGCCAGTATGGGTATCTTGAAAACTGAGACATAAGAGGTCGGTAAATTAGAAAAAAGTTGCACAATTTTCATTTTGTGCTCACTGAAAAAAATCCAATTGCATCCGGAGATATCAAAAAAAAAAACAACCAAATCGCCAAAAACGATTTAATTTTATGTCCTCTTGGGAGAAATATTTTTAAATACATTTCACTTTCATTGTTACCACTTTTCCGTCTTTAAAAGATTGCGTTATTAAATTTGAAATCTGATGTTTTGTCCTTGGGCCCCTATCATTTTTTTCCATATGGCTCCGATTTTCTAAATAGCTCTTTTTAATTTTGAGTCAACAATGTGTCTTTACCTAATAATGTTTTGACTGGGAAACATTTTTTTTTTCTAACTCACCAACAAACTGCATAATACACGTAAAGTAACAAAGGCCATATAGAAGCAATATTGGAATAAACATAGATTCACTTAGGGCTCTTCTTCGGGTTTGAACTTTTGCACATTGAACATATTTTTTCCCATATCCCTAAAGAAAAATTCAGGCGGGGTTATATCAAAATAAATTCCTATAAATTTTACTTCAAATTTATCTGAAAGGTGAGGTCTGATTTATTCTTGAATTATGTGAAGGTGAACCATACTGCTGGAACCAACGATGGAAGTTTCCATTGTGTACGATTTTACCATAATAGACTGGAAAATAATAAAATTACAGATCAAATTTAAAAAAATTAACCATACATACAAATTAATTCCCTCGTCAAGGTGCTTTTCTTTGGAACGCCTTTTTTAATTGACAAAGCCAAGCCAAAATGCCAAAATAGACTTGGCCATTTTGTGATTCTTGGTCGTCTCCTTGAACTTTATTCTTATTTAATGTGATTTTTTTTTGTCCTCACTGGCGCCCCCAACGGCGCCCTTTAGAACAAGCTGGCGCCCCATGCAAAAGTCTGTGGTGGAGGGGTGAAGGCTTATTCCCTACCCCCCTCCAATACTGAATCTCATTATCTAGGACTCAGCGCATGAACACATCGAATTATAAAAAAAATTGAGCAGGAAAAAAAAAAAATTATACCCATAGCCTATAGGTAGTAAGATTATCTATGTTTTTATTGATTTTGCACTCAATACTCGTCTATATTATTTTAAAACAATAATTAGGAGCAATACAGGTGATTTTTTTTTGTTTTTGAAATAAAACTAGTTTTTTATTATGAAAAGGAACATTTAAGATACAAAATACAGATATAAACTTTCTTCATTCCTATAAGTGAACAAACTTGAACATTATCAATACAAAGAAACAAAATAAAACTAATGACATTCTAACATGCTACAAATAACAGCCAAACTCTTAGCAGCACTTATACAGTAAAAACAAACAAAAACACAGCCGCGATTGAGTTACTGACTAAAAAAATACTAAAATAGGTACCTACTCTAAAACGTAAGTAAAATATTTCTCTCAGAAATATCAATATTTACATTGGTAGCTTCCCATTAAACACATGGTCAAAAATTCCATCCAGAGGGCAGCTTATACTTTCTGGGACTGACTCCCGACAATGATAGTTTATGCCAAGCATTATGCTTAGAGCTATGGCCATAGCAAAGAGTGTGATACTGAATGTTGTGATACAGCGGCAAAACTTACTTCTAAAAAAAAAAAATATATATCATTGATCATTTAAAGCAAAAACAATAGGAAATCTCTACAGGCTAAATTACCCAATTATAGATAAATTAGGAGACAATAACAAACTTAATTTGTGCTCCAATTAACCCAACTAGTGTTTTAGGGTTGCCAGACCTCCTATTTTTAATATGAGACTCATATATTTTAACTGTTTCTCATATCTCATATTAACATGTTTAATATGAGACCATTTCTCATATATTTTCCTCAAAAAAAAAAAGAAACCATGTATGACTACCATACACGTGATAGGCCGGTCCGACGGCGGATAATGATAAAATAGTTTCAACTCCTTCCGTTTTCGGATCGAACCTCAAAACGATATTGGGTCAGGGATTTGTTTAAATATCGAAAAACTCAAGGTTGCAGGAGCGTCACGTCGGGAGGGGTAATTACCCCCCCCAGGATCGAAGAATCAAGAGAAAAATCACGATGCCCAAAAGAAAATACATAGCATGTTGAAAAAAATACAATTTTTTTTTCCCCACAAAGGAGATAATTTATTGTTCTGGAAAAGTGAATGACCTTGACATTTGCCAAAAATTTTCCCTGCGGCGCCTTTACGAAGGGGCGCCCCCTGAACCAAGTACCATTTACCCCCCCCCCAGACTGCTTGTCACGCGTCGCCACTGCAAGGTTGTCCACGACTTGTTACAAAAAACCGAGAATGAGACTGACGGATAAAAGAATGTCCAGCAATACATTCTAAAATCATCATATCTAATCGTCAAGATGGATCTAATCGTCAAGATGGAAGCTTTTTCGGAGTTGATCATTGCAGTACAGTGGAATTGGTACAAATCTCGGTACAAATTTTTGAATGCACCTTGAATTGCATCCAACAATTTGACCTGTGGATTCGACTTTTTTAACAAACCGTTAATGCCAAAATTGTGACAGCTTTGACTTTATACAAAGAGCATTCAAAAATTTGTGCTAACTCCAATGGCCACCACTGTACATAAAAAATTCTCATATATTATTATCCAATCTCATATAATCTTATACAGGGTCTCCTATTTTCAAAACTCAAGTATCTGGCAACCCTAAGTGTTTACTACCAGTAAAGCATTGATGCGAGAGTGCATTAAATATTTTTTTCAGTGAACAAGTCAGTTTTGCTACCATGGTAAGAGTTCTGGTGATAAATTGGTATCCCAGTTGTTCTTACCCTATGAACCAAACATCCCTAATTCAGTTTATCTAACTCTGCTAAAATATGAGTGACATGATCTAGCCATCCTAATTCAAAAACAAATTTTACACAGGAGTTTGGTACGCTATGTATTCTCCGAGCACCACAAACATCCATACACTACATCTGCATAGTAAGCATGACACAAAACTAATCCCTCGCATACCTGAAACTAATTTTCATACTTAAAGTATTTTTAGTATTAAGAGACTTTCAAGTGCCATCATATAACTGTTCTGGAATAATTTTACAGTAGTTTCTCGGAAGTCCACGTCAGAATCAAAAGAATAACAGCTGGATTCCTTTATATCATATATGTCACCGGTCGACCCTCCAATCACAATGCATCTGAACCATCCTAGCCAAGCCACGCAACCAAAAATAATCGCTTGTGACTTACTAGGGTTTATTTTCAAGGCAGGCTCGAAGAACTGATTATAGATTGCCTCTAAATTAATTTACAGTCCAGCACACTGCGCTTTTCCCTTAGCGAGCCTAACATATACCTGAATGTCAGCAATTGATGAATGAATTAAAAAGAAAATTGGACTCAGTATTGAACTCTAAGGCGCCCCACTCAAGGTTGTGGAGTAGCTTCTATCAAGTAACATAAACTGAGCTCCGTCAGACAAATAATTCCAACGCCATATTTGATTATTGTAAAGACCAATCATGCCCCAATGTGTCAAAAGCTTTACTATAGCCTAGCAGACCCAAGGCAATAATGCCTCAATAAAAGTCATTACATACTCTAGCACCTTCACCAATGGCCTAGTTGCACTATGCACTGCAGATTGGCAACTGTGACAACATCATTTTATCATCCCATCAATTCCTTTGTTAACAACTTTAATTCAAGAAGTTAAATTTTTCTGTATGTTTCTCCCTTTCTCTTCTCTTTTTCATTTTTTAACCTATGTCCCGGCTATGAACCTGATACGCGATTTCGCTTTAAAGTGGGGCGTTGCGTCTTTTCTCGCAGTGAGCTCTCTTACCACAGAGAGGATAATCTGGATGTAGTTTGGTTGGAAATTACTTCTACGAACATGGTGCGCTGTGTGCATAGACTAATATACATAGGGGGTAAATAGACTGGACTCTCCAATGTTGACATATCATTTCGTATTTTAGCGCCGTCTGCCGGATGAGAGTGAACTATAAATACTAGTTCGGTCATTCTCCAAAAGATGGCACATCGTTATTGATAGTTCACTGTAATTTTTACAGTAACTTGACAACCCCTCTTCAAACAGTGGAGACAATGGAGGTCCCGCCATCATATTCTTGCAAATTTTTGATATGAACAATAGGATATAAATGGATATCCCCTCGAATATCCATATCTATCATAAAAAATTAAAAATAACGAATTTAAATTTTAGTCAGAGGAATACGTTACCTTCAAATTTTGATGATACATATCCATTTCATTTATATCCAATAATTCCTATGTATTCATATTTGAAATTTCAAAAATATGGCGGCGAGGCCTCTATTCATTTATCTGTACTATTCATCGTCGCCACTGTTTGGAAAGGTTTGTCGAGTATACATGATGACAATGACATTTCCGATGAAGGATTCGGTATTTTTTTCTTTTGCACTTTCATAACCTCAGTTTTATAAGACTAGCAGAGCCATCAGCGGCCACGAGTGAACTAAAAAAGCTGGCTCAAAGCGGTAATATGAGTGCGCGGACCATGGCTGTGTGTATCTTTCACCCAACGACTCCAGTTATGAACTTTTATTTGAAAATCAGGCAAATTCATTTGATTTACGATTCATTGATGAGAAGACCCATACGAACTCCGAGATTATATTCTTGGCTCCACAGGTACTGCCACATATTGGTTCTTATATTGACGACGTTGTATTTAGACCTAAGACTTACCTACATACCTAGTTAGAAAATTCTTGAGCAACTTGACACTGGAAACTCTTGCGATGCTCGACGGCATTCCACCAATTATTGTCCTCAAAACTCGCACACAAGAATTGGCTTCAGTTTTCAGCAAACTGTTTTCTTTCTCTTACAGTCGAGGCGTTATCCAGTCTATCTGGAAATGTGCCAGAGTTCAGCCCATCCAAAAAAGGGGAAAGTAAACTCTTCCTAGCAATTATCGTCCCATCTCACTTATATCCGTACTTTCGAAAGTAATGGAAAAGGCAGTCAACCCAAGACTGGTTAAATATTCACCTAGAAGCCCATCTCTGACAAACGGTACAAGTTTCGTTCTAAAGATCAACAGAGGATCTGCTGGCGTTCGTCAGTCATATTTGGAATTGACTCTCGAAAAACATGGCGAATCCAGAATCGTAACATTGGACACCTCCAATGCTTTTGATCACGTACAGCTCAAAGGTCTCCCCAGCAAACTTCCATCGTATGGTCTTCCGAACGGATTTTGTCATTGGCTGGGAAGCTGTTTGGAAGGAAGGTCACTGCATGTTGTGAACGATGGTATGACTTCTGATACATTTCCTATCAATGCCGGCGTTTCCCAAGGCTGAATTCTGCCCCAACACTGTTTTTCATTTTCATAAATGATTTGTTGAATGCGACAAGAAACCCCATATACAGCTGTGCAGACGATATTAGATTGATGGCATCTTTCTCTTCTGTCAAACCCCTTACTACAGCCACTTCCACACGCCTCGCCGCCTGACTACAGATTCACTCTATCAACAGTGCTCTTGATACTGTTACCAACTGGGGCCTTAACAACCTAGTCAAATTCACTGCTTCCAAAACTCAACAGTATTCGTAAATAAGAAACTTTCCATCGATGATAACCCAGTTTTCAAGGTGTTGGGACAAAACCTCTCTATCAGCCCCTCAGTATCTTTTCTTGAGGTGACCGCATCTACCAACTTGTCTTGGCACGACCATGTATGTTCGATCGCAAAAGCCGCTTCTCGAAATATACGGTCCATTTTTACAAAAATCAGAGGCAGGCGATCGCAGCGGTGTTCTGTGATTCTAGTCAAGGCTTTTGATTGTGTGCATCAATGAATACTGCTGTCCAAGCTCGGAAGTTACGGCGTTAGAGGGACAGCCCTACGTTGGTTCAATTCGTACCTTGCTAGACATTATCAATCGGTTAGGGTTTCTGGAGTACGGTCTTCAACTATGCCGTTTGGTTGTGGAGTTCCTCAGGGTTCTGTTTTGGGGCCGCTTCTCTTCGTCGTATATATCAACGACGTCGCCCGTGTACAGCTCTCTGGAGAATTTACTATTTTTGTGGACGACACCTCGATAGTGGGGCATGGTCCCAGTGTTGATGTCTTGAGGCGTGCCATTTCCGACGAATCGCAATTGATAAAGCGATGATGTGACGCTTATAGACTTGTTTTTAATGTGGACAAGACCACTGGTGCAGGAAACGTTCATTTTTTTGTTCTGCTGTGAGGGCCTTGAGAGGGCGTTAGTAACATTGAAATATGTCAGTTTTGTGTTGATTTTTTCAAATTCTTCTGCAAAGAGAAAAAAAAACTTACATCAGAATTGGCTCAAATTTGGCAAAAACATTCTTTGATCGATTATCTACAATCCGAATATTTTAGTTTTTCGAGATTTTGCGTTTTTCTCAAAATGAAAAGTGTATATATGGTTATGGATTATTTCATTATAAGAACTCGCAAAATATCGAAAATATCGATCATAGAATGTTTATGTATGCCAAATTTGAGCCGACTCTGATGTGAGGTTTTTTTCTCTTTACAGAAGAATTTACAAAAAAATTAACCAATCAGACCACAGAACTAACTGACAGATTTCAAATGTCATAAAAGCCTTCTTAAGAGGCGAGTTCTCTGCTGAAACTTGCAACAGGCGGGCGGTCTATTATGCCTTAGTTGAGTGAAGTCGCACCTTCGATATGGAATTCCATTATGGTGCCTTAGTAGTAAGAACCTCTTGATCTTTTAATTTGAATTGCAGAAAAGAATCGTGTATATAAAGTCACTATTCTTCTATCACTCGCGGTTTCCAAATAGAACCGTATAGAGTGTTTTGGAATTTTTCAGTAAGCCCGTTGGTGAACTTGTTTTTCGATGTCAAATCCAGTTATAAAGTCACTGTTTCACTTTAACGAAAAGTCCCTCATTGTTCCTACATTAGCTCAAATCAGTCTACCAATTATCTCGCTACATTTCCCCCTAATTGGCCTCAACTAATTCACTAGTTATTTCGCAACTTATTTCACAATTTAGCTCAAATTAATACACCAATCATTGTCTCACTAATTGGCCCACTTCTGATCAATTCCACGAGTCCACAAAAAATGTCTTTACTTAAAACAACTTTGATTGAACTAATTGACTACAAAACTCTATACAACAATTCTCTCATTTGAACTGACTTACAAACTACGCGCTATACAAAACCACTTGACTCACAAATCTCTAGAGTCTTAGTAAATGCTTGTTAATTTGAAGCGTCCGCTTTTCCGCACCAATGTAGTTTCGTAACAATATATCATAAATATTTTGAGCACTATTCACTTTTCTGCATATTTCGGACATAAACATAGAACAAGTGGTTTCTTGTCGGCACATTTGTGCTTTGGAAACTTCATCGATTTAATAATGTAGATAATAGCCTATGTAAGTGAAATATTGACGCTTTTTGTCAGCATTCTAACATTATTACTTGGAAAAAAAGTCACAACATATGATCAAATAAAATCAGCCAATAAATTTAAAAACTAGTGCATTCCTTACCTTTTCTTTGGAATGTATTCGTCTTTGGTTTTCTTTGGTACCCACTCGCATTTTCTTGGCCTCTTAAGCGCCGAGATGTAATTCATAGCCCAAACCAGAATAGGTAGTTCCTGATTTTCGCAAATCAACGCACCAACTTGACTAGCATTCTGAACTAGTTCTTCCAACTGTATCTCAATTTCTTTCAATAAATCATAGGCCGGCACTATGGTTTCAGCATTTTCAGTATTTTGATGCGTTAGATAGTTTGAAACATCTCTAACCAACGTCAACATGTGTTTGTATTGACAGTGATATTTTCCAGAAAGAAGCTCTAATTGTTTTTCAACCGTATTTGAGTTATCGACCAGGTGCGATAATAAATCTGTCATTTTCTTCTCTTCCTCCTGGGTCAAGTTTCTTCTTTTATAAAAAAAAAAGGTTCAGTGGTTAAGATAAATAACAGTCATTCATATAGTAGACTCGCGTAAGCTACTTACAAACATTATGAACACAAAAATAATGAAGAAATAGTTATAGTAGCCAATTTGGGCTACAGAAAAGTTCAAACAATGATTATGTTAACACAATAAAATATCTACTTGAAAAAAAATAATTAGTTGTAATATTTCATCACTAATAATGGTCTCCTTTGTAGCATAAACAATCTATTAATATGAACACGGTCAAAATTATTGTGTTCACACTTAGCGTGAGTCTAATGTATAATAAAATTACCCAGAAAATCTACTATCCAAAGAAAATTCTCGTAAGAGATCGCTGGTCAAACAATTAACGTCCAAAGAAGGCACTTTACAACAGGACTAAAAAAAATGTTGTATAAGATATTAGGTATCTGCAGCAATCACCAATTCTAGTCAGAGCAAATATTATGTAAAGTTGCCTCCGTCTATAATTGAGATTCCAATAAACACTTGATATTTTTTGGTGACTCGTTGAACCACCCGCGTTTCTAAACCGTTTGAATAAATAATTGATTCGATTCGTTATTTGTTCAAAATAATAATTTCAAAATGTTCTAGAGGGCGTATTCAAATTAGCTTAGATCCATTTTTCAATCCTTTTAATGTTGCGAGGAAAACTAGAACGGAACAATAGCCGAATAAGTCGAAAAGCATAAGTATTTATTTTCAAATTAGCTCTCGGACTCCAGCCGATGGTGTTTTGGGTCTTTTTTCATGATTGTAAACAGTATCAATTATCTGTGGCGGGAACTACACCTAGTTGCTTTTATCAAAATCTTAAATCGCTCCGACTAGTTTGGGATTGAGAAAAATATTGCAAAAACATTATATATTTTTCCAACTTACATCAGATTCAATACTTAAATTCTCTTTTGAGGGCAAATTAATATCTTCAATGCCAGTTGATGAAAATTCCGGTCTGTCTGCTCTGTTTGATTTTGTCAATTTGCCCATAGTTTCTCCACAGCTAGAAAAAAAATATATTAAGATATATCTCCTGTTCCAATAAGAAACATTTTTATAACGGGAGTTAAACTAAAAGAAATTTATTGGTCTTGGATAACAATACCATCGATGGATAGTTTGATATTGTCGCGGCTTTGGGTTGCCTGCTGACAAAAATCTTGGGTTCGTCGTTCGTTTCGTTTATTCCAAAAATCAAAGTCCAATTAACACAGCAATAATTTATTCCACTTAACAATACACTCTGACACTAATTACTTTAATAACTAACTTAACAATTAAACTTTACAACTCAATAATCACTATTTAACTCGTATCACAGTCAAACTTTAACTTAAACTACAAAGCAATAGCAATCTTTTATATATCCCTAAATCTATTCCTGTAAAATCTAGAATACACACGATAATCTTATTTTCCCGAATTAAGTAGAATAATTCGCTAGATTCTAGTATACTCAACAGATAATACCGAGATATTCTTGACAGCCTGGCGAATCATCACATTGCCCTCCTCTTAAGGTTGATCGTCCCGATCAACTCCACGCCCGTGATATTTTGTTAACCTGTCCAGATGTACAACTTTCATCTTACTCCTGGTGTTGCGTTGAACTCGATAAACCAAATCATTGATCCTCTTGATTATTTTGTAGGGTCCTTCCCATGCTGAAGACAACTTCGGCGATACTCCTTTCTTTCTAGCTGGATTATACAGCCACACTAAATCACCTTGAAATCCCGCTGAATTGGCTTTCAGGTCGTATCTGGTCTTCATCCGGTCACTGGCTAGCTGAATATGCTCCCGAGCAAAATCATGGATACCCAGAAGTCGTGCCCTTACTTCGTCGGCATAATCTCGGATTTCTCTCCGTTCTTCTTCAGGTATCCCAAACATCAAATCGCAAGGTAACCTGAGTTCTCTTCCAAAGACGATTCTGGCTGGACTTTCACCTGTTGACTCGTGAACAGCTGCTCTATAAGCCATTAAAAACAGAGGCAAGTGTTTGTCCCAATCACGCTGGTTCTTTGCGACCACTTTTGTCAGGTGTTCCTCCATGGTCTTATTAAATCGTTCTACCATGCCATCAGACTGTGGATGTAAAGGTGTTGTCCTGGTCTTACGGATTCCCATGATCTCACAAATTTTCTTAAAGATGGCAGATTCGAAGTTTCGTCCCTGGTCTGAATGTAACTCTAGTGGCACACCATGACGACTAAAAACTTCGTCCACTAGCACCTGGGCAACAGTGATAGCTTCTTGATTGGGAATAGCGAAAACTTCTGGCCATTTACTGAAGTAATCCATGATAACTAAGATGTATTTGTTACCACGCTCTGACTCTGGGAACGGTCCGGCTACATCAATCGCTATTCTTTCAAATGGAAGACCGACGTTGTACTGTTTCATGGGCCCCCGAGATCTTAGTTTAGGGCCTTTACTGGTAGCACAGATGTCGCATTTTCGGCACCAGCTTTTAACGTCTTCATGGTAGTGAACCCAGTAAAAACGCTCCCGAATTTTGTCCAAAGTCTTGTTAACTCCGAAATGTGCCCCTGAAGTTCCGTCGTGTATTTCTTTTAATACATCTTCCACTCGGTCTTTTGGGATAACCAGTTGGCTCTTAGTGGATTTCCCATCGGCACTTTCCCAAAGTCTTTTGAGCAAACCATTTTCTACGGCCAGAGAGTTCCATTGGGCCCACAACTCTTTGTAGATCAAGCTCTTGTTTGACACTTCCCTCCATTCCGGCCTACATTCATCGTTTTCTTTAAGATGTAGAATTTGTCCGATGTCCTGGTCTGCCTCCTGATCTTCTCTCATTTGTTTGGTAGTCCATTTGTCATCGACGATCAGGCCCGTTCTTCTTACAACTGGACTAGTGTTTTTCTCATGTATATCGATTCTATGACAATGCTTGCAATCTTCTTTGCATGGCCGTCTAGACAGAGCGTCAGCATTTTTATGCAGGTTTCCAGGTCGATGTTTAATTTGGAAATCGTATTGCTGCAATTTCTCAATCCATCTAGCAAGCTGTCCTTCAGGAGTTTTCATTTCTAAAAGCCATTTTAGAGCTGCGTGATCTGTTCGAATTAGAAACTTGCGTCCGTAGAGATACTTATGAAAATGGTCGACTGCTTTTACTATGGCAAGCAACTCTCTTCTGGTGACACAATAATTTCGTTCCGGCTTTGATAATGTTCTGCAGTAGTACTCCACGACATGTTCTTGTGAATTTTGGATTTGTGAAAGAACAGCTCCAACACTGGTGTTACTTGCATCTGTGTCCAAAATCAACATGCCTTTGTGATCAGGATAGGACAACACTGGGCTCGTACATAATGCTCCTTTCAATTTTCTAAATGCGGAATCGCATTCTTGGGTCCAATTGAATGTTGACCATGTCCATGGCCAGTCCCTGACAGCATCTATTTTTCCTTCCATAACTTGTATGCCCTCTTCAGATCCTAAGAATTCCACTTTCTTTTGAAATAGGAAACACTTATTTGGATTGAGTTTCAAGTTGGCATTCCGGAAGCGGTCAAAAACTTCTTTTAGGTTATTGAGATGTTCTTGGAACGAATTTCCCATAATCATGACATCATCCAAATATACCAGGCAAGTTCTCCATGTAAGGCCTCACAAAACAAGATGCATCAGTCGCTCAAACGTAGCTGGAGCATTACACAATCCGAAAGGCATTACATTAAACTGGTATAGTCCGCTTCCGGTACTGAAGGCAGTTTTCTCTTTGTCATCGTCATGTATTGCCACTTGCCAGTATCCACTTTTGAGATCCAAGGTGGAAAACCATTTGGAGCCCGATAGAGTTGTTAGTGTATCGTCTATTCTTGGGAGAGGGAAGCTGTCCTTCTTGGTGACGTCATTAAGCTTTCGGTAGTGCACACAAAATCTAAGACTCCCATCTTTCTTCGTAACCAGTACTACTGGCGCGGACCATGGACTATTTGACTCTTCAATGACTCCCTCTTGAAGCATTTTATCAATTTGGTTTTCCACTTCCTGTTGCTTAGCTACTGGCATACGTCGTGGTGGTTGTCTGATTGGGTGTGCCAATCCAGTATCAATTTTGTGTTGAATTAAGCTGGTTCGTCCGGTTTGATTGTCCATCACAAATACGTCTGCTTCTTTCAAAATGAAATCTGTGGCTTCTTGAAGTCTATCTGGATCAAGATGTTTCCATGATTTCGCCAAAGTCTGCATTAAGGTGTCTGTATCCAATTTGGATTTCACAAAATGTCGCTTATCTGGTAGGTCACAGTTCGATATTTGCTTCATTGATTCGAGAGCTCCAATAATGTCTCCTTCTTTTATTCTTACTGTTTCGGAAGAAACATTGGCAATTCTTATCATAATGTCTCCATTTGTTCTTACTAGAGTCTTTCCAACAAGAAATCTTTCTGGTTTATCTCCAATGAAATTACGTGTTAGCCCAACGCAGCACCCAGGGTTTGTTTCTAATCTTCCACAAATGATCTTTTCAGTACTTCCAGGAATCCTCACTGGAGTTGTGGCCAAGATCCTAACGGCATCGGATTCTTCTTGTGTTGTTAGGACAATTTCTTCATTACCAAATTTAAGGATGTTCATGGAAGGATCAAAAGAGTTGGCCGATCAAATCCATTCCCAAAATGAAATCATCTTCTATATCGGCGACTAATGTTCTGTGCCTGAAGGTGGTAGATCCAAAAGTGAGCTCAACCATAGCTTCTCCTTGTACTGGTGCAGATTCGCCGGTGACTGTTCGTAGTGACAGGTTTCTAGTGAGCGGTTGGATTGCCCGAGACTTGACTAATGTTCTTTTAATTATGGAAACTTCAGCACCCGTATCAAAAGTAATGGTTTTCAATTCTCCATTAACTTGTCCTTCGAATTTTAATCCTCTATAATGACTGCCCAATGATTTTATGTAAACAACCCTGGGGGCTTCGTCATTACTAACCAGCATTCGCCCCTCCATACTGGTTAGTTCTCGTTTCCCTGTCTGTTATAGGGCTGGCATCTCTTGATCTCGAAAAACGTTGGAAACGATCCCTTGATGGAGAGGGCATTCTTACTCTACAATCTCGTTGAATGTGTCCAAGTTTATGGCACCGGAAGCACTCTATTCGGTTTCTCGGGGTTGGTGTTTGTCTGGAATCGTTTCCCATTTTTCTATCTTCTAGTAACAGTTTCTCCATTCTCTCCATGAAATTACTCATTTTAGTTTCGAAGCTACCATCCTCCTTTGACAACTGTTCATCTTTTGGGTCCTCAATGGACACTGCTCGTATTCTGGGTCGCGAGGCACCAAAGATTGCTTCTAGTTCTAATGCTCGAACAAGAGCTTCGCTACTTTGTCTGAACTTGGACATTCTCAGGTTTTCTTGGATCTTCGAATCTCTGAGACCATCAATAAATGCAGATACTGCCATCCATTCCTGCATGTCTTCCCCAGCTGCAGGAAACGCCAAACTCACTAGCCTTTTAACTTCCGATTCGAATTCTTGTAGACTCTCGCCGGGTTTTTGAACTCTTGATTTAACTTGAGTTCTGAATACTTCTTGTCTGTAATGGTCTCCGAAGCGCAGTTCTAAAGTTTGACTTAGATGCTGGTAGTTCTGTTGGTAGACTGAAGGAATGGACTGAAGAAGGTCTAAGGCAGGTCCTCGTAGCGCCACTATTAGTGCTGTAGCTTTTTCTTGGTCGTTCCATCCATTGGTGTTTGCAGCAGCTTCAAATTGTCGAATATACATGGTCCAGGATGTAGAACCGTCAAAAGTTGGTGGTTTTATCTTCATACTGGAGAATGCTCCAACACTAACTGGATTGATGGACTGTATTTCTAATTTACGCACCTTATCTTCGAGTGCTTGAACTTGGTCCTCCACTTCTTGTCTTAATTGCTGAACATCGTCTTTAACTTCTTGAACATCGGTTTTGACTTCAGCTTTTACTTCCTGAACGTCGTGTTTAACTTCTTGCACATCATCTTTAACTTGTTCAATCTTCTGGTCTAGGTTAGCGACAGTTCCTTGTATGGTTTGGAATATTTTCTGCAGTCTTCCAAGGTCCTCCTGCCGTTCTTGTTGTCGCCTAGCTTCTTCTTCTTGTTTTTCTTTTTGTCGTCTGGCCTCTTCTTTTTGTCGTCTAGCTTCTTCTTCTTGTTTTTCTTTTTGTCGTCTGGCCTCTTCGTCTTGTTTCTCTTGTTGTCGTTTAGCTTCTTCGTCTTGTTTTTCTTGTTGTCGTCTGGCTTCTTCGTCTTGTTTTTCTTGTTGTCGTTTGGTCTCTTGAAGTTCCAACATTTTGCGCAGGAGTTCTTCAACTTTTTGTTCGTCCATTTTGGCTTGTTGTCTTGTGATAGGCATATACAGAATGTTCTAGAATTTCCCTCGAACTTTCTTCAAATATCTTTTCTGGTCTTTGCTCGAAGTTCCAAACACGCCGGTGAAGTCACAAATTGGATAACTTGCTTTATTCTAGAATAGAATGTTCTGGAATTTTCTTGAAACTTCTTTTCTAGATGTCGATTGGTACAGCAAACACGTCGGTGAAGTCAGAAAATCGATATCTCCCTTGGTTTCCAAATAGAATTTTCTAGAACTCACACTATCAAAGTCTAAATCGGGTATAAAGTCACTTCCGGGGTAATTTACACGATCGGTTGAGTCTCTTTTTGTGATTGTCACTATTTGCACTGCACTAACTGTCCTAGTGTTCACTTAGTGTTCAGTTTTTATACTACACTAGTGTCCCCGCACTTCCGTAATTTGATTTCACTCTGCAGTCCTTTATATCCCACTTCTTGGCACCAATGTCGCGGCTTTGGGTTGCCTGCTGACAAAAATCTTGGGTTCGTCGTTCGTTTCGTTTATTCCAAAAATCAAAGTCCAATTAACACAGCAATAATTTATTCCACTTAACAATACACTCTGACACTAATTACTTTAATAACTAACTCAACAATTAATCTTTACAACTCAATAATCACTATCAAACTTTAACTTACACTAACTACAAAGCAATAGCAATCTTTTATATATCCCTAAATCTATTCCTGTAAATTCTAGAATACACACGATAATCTTATTTTCCCGAATTAAGTAGAATAATTCGCTAGATTCTAGTATACTCAACAGATAATACCGAGATATTCTTGACAGCCTGGCGAATCATCACAATATTATCCTCAAACGATTACATGACATTTTTTTATGAATAGACATAAATAGAAATATTGGATCATCAGATCCCAACAGGTAAAAATTGCTGGCAAAAAAAGTAACATTTACAAGTTACAGAGGCACTGGGTTTTTTGTACGATTACTTCAGCCCTATTGATAATAACACAAATAACTTCAAAAATTTGTTCAGTTTCCAAGATAAACGGTGTAAAGTCAATTTTCTAACCTTTCATGATGACGAAGATGAGTTTTTTTGAACAGTTTGCGTGATTGGCTTGGAAATAAAAATAATGAAAACTTTGATTTGGTAATTTTCATAGATTTTTATCAGCGTCGTGTCTACTTATTTTGTTGGTCCAACCATTTCGCAACAACAAGAAGACAAATGGCGCGAAAAAAAAAACAAGCCGGTTCCAGAAAATTTCACAGGAGCAATAAGAACGAAGACAAAACGATGATGATAAAATCGCCAGATTGTTCCAGATAATCCGAAGAAGTCCGAGGCGAAAGAGATGAAACTCCGAGGCGAAAGAGATAAAAGAGGAATTGTCAAATAAGAAAAAGTCCCAAAAGTTAGAAAAGCTTCGACCTTTACGCTTCGAAGTAAAGACCCAAGACAGGACCTGGAGGAAAAATGAAGCTGTTCGTTAATTTCTGGTAGACGACCAGTCATTAAAGAGGCCAGGACAGGCTCTATATAAGTGCACGACTTCGCCAAATTCAGATTATGTCTGAGCAGGAGCACCTTTAATGAAGGCGACGCCATCTGGTTTTATCAGCCACAGCGAAGACAGGGACTGAGCACGAAATTACAATGACCGTGGAAAGGGCATACAGGGCTCGTTAAGAAGATCAACGATACTCTGCCCGATGACCAAAAAATTGCCGATTGGTATTTTACCGCGCAATAGTCCGGCCGAATCGAAACGAGGAAGTGAGTTATCTGGCCAATCTGAGGGTAACGACGCGGTATAAAACGGAGTCGGCACCGAGGAAAGAAATCAGTGATAAATTAGACGTCAATGCGTTAAGAATCAGTTAGTGGATTGAATTAGTGCAACGCGAGCCGATTAAATGGGCTTGATTTAAGTTGAACGAAGTAGTAAAATAGTGCTAGTTCCGTTAAATAATTTTGGACGAGTAGTCTCACTTATCAATACCGACGCACATACCAAACAATATTGATGACAATCATATTTAGGTCCTTTTTTTTTTAAAGAAAAATAAGAATTTACTTCACATATTGAATTTTGTTATCATTTCTAAGTTCTATCACCCATTACATTATTCAAAAAATTTGTGAGACACTAAGATCCACCAGATATAAAGTAATGTGCAGTTTTACTAAAAGAAAAAAACTAACAAAAGATATGCTTACCTCTGGTTCAGATCATCTTGAAAACCATGTAGCTTATTAAAAGACGCTGTTTTTTCTGTGACTGCCATATCCAATTCATCATAAAATTTCTGTTTTTCAATAATCAATTGTTCAATCTTCTCAAGGTTTTCATTTGATTCATTCATTGATAATAGACGACTTTCCAGTTGTTGATTTTTAGTTTTTTCCGTTCTGTATTTATCATTTAAACGTTCCAGATTTTCTTCTAATCTAATGATCAAATTTTCCAGCTGGCAATAACTTTTGCTTTTTATTGAAGATTTTTTATTTGGGGACATCGATTTTTCCAAGCTACGAGACCGGTCAAGTTTGAGTAACTTAAGTTTTAAATTTTCTATCTCTTGTTTATTTGAGTTATTCTCAGTTTGGACTTCCACATATAATTTCTGCAAATTTGTCAATTCTTCAGACTGGTTCTTAAATTTCAACTGAGATAATGTATATTTCTGCTGAAGATCCTCAAAATTCTTAGTTAATGCCTTCTCTTTTTCAAGTTGGAGAAAATCGATGTTAACGACATCGTTGACTTGATCAACTTCTTTGTTTGTTTGTGCCAGTTTCATATTCTTATTTCCTAACTCTTGAATAGTACCTATTTCGTCTTTTGTTAATGTTCCTATATTTTCTTTGGTTTCTGCTAGCTCTTTATTCAATTTAGTGGTTTCCTCCTGGGCTTCTTCTAACATTCTCTTCATTTGGCTCATTAGCAAATCTTTCTGTGCATGTGCTTCTATGGCTTGGTGTAGATCTTCAGAGATTTTTTCATTATTTAATTTCAGATTATTATACTCAATTGTCAATTCTTCCTGCGATTTCAATAGAGTTTCATAATTTTCATTTAACTCATTGTACATCGATATTTGTTTGTGAAGTGTTTCTTCTAAAGTTTTAATTTGTTTACTTGGACTAGTTTTGATATCTGAAAATACAGAAATTCATTAGAATAGTTGCCACATCTACAAAATTGACAAACTCTAGGAAAGACTTGGCATCAGGAAAGGAAAACAATAGATTTTGTATAAAGCCAAACCATTCAAGACAGTATAGCGATAAGGGTGATTTGAATAGCACGATTCATGCAATTGTCGCCAAAATAAGTGCATTTGGAAATTTTTATCTTTTATTTTCTGATCAAATTGTTTTTTAATATCAGCGAACGTTTCATTGGAGAAATCAGAGGTAAGAACTGTCCAAAAAAATTGAACTGTACTTATTTTGTACAGTGGAGTAGCGTTGTTAGTGTACTCAATTCAGGGACCACATTAATATAAAGTAATGTGTTCCATAAATTCAAGTTTCTAACCGACAAATCGGTTGAACCCTTTTAGGCAAATACAAACATTTACCAGGGAGTGAGGAACAGTAGTGTTACTAAAGATTTTTTACAACTAAAATCGATTTCATGAATCTGAATTCTTCAAAGAATGCTCATGAAATTCAGCTCTGTAATAAAGGGCATATAGTTTTCTCTCCTGATAATATATCTATACCATCAAGAAGAGGTTTGGGGTCTTTTTTATTGTAATTCTGGGGGTATTTGTAATAATTGTACGATTTTTTTTGCCTTGCCTGAAAAATGCATAAAACATAAATTTTGACATATCCACTGAATGCGTGGAGGAATAACATGTTATCCACAACCTCTTTTGGGCATATAAAACAGTTTAAAAAATAAAACCGTTTTTCAGTTTTCTCGGTGTTTCATTAATATTTCACAATCATCAAGAATATCCATCAAGATGCAGGATTATGGGGCGCCGTTTGGGACAAGATAAAATTTCTTGCAATATACATAAGCAAAAAATTGTATTTTGGCCCAAACGGTGCATCATACAGGATGCCACTTGCCAACCGTATATGAATCGATGGGCATGGTGAGCTAGGTCTTTTACTCAAAGATAAATATGATTTCATGTACATAAAAGTGAACGTATAAATAGCAATATACTTCTAGTGTTACCATCTGGAGTCGGAAATATGGCAATGACAAAAGGTTGCGGAGAAACTAATGGTTGAGCAAAGACCAATGGAACAAGCCGGGCTAGAAATTTCCTTGGGGGTCGGATAAAAATAACAGGAATCGGCTGGATAAGCATTCGCTCTTTATATTGAAAAAAATCAAGCCGCCAAACTATCCCTAATCTTGTTATGTGTTAGAAAAAGATTACATTTTTTTTTGTTATTGCGTAGATTTCTGGCAGATTGTTTTTACAGTTTTTTCTCGAGCTTTATATCATAGCCTTACCTACATCATTCTCCAACTTCCTTATTGAGGAGTCCTTAGATTGAACATCATTTTCAATCATCACATTAATATTATCTCCGTTATTGTTATTTTCAACATGTTTCATTTTGCCAAAAATGAGCTCCATGATCGGCTTGGTCCCGTCAAAAATCACAATTTCGCTTTGGACATTATTGTTCCTGGTGTACGACACCTTGAATCGAGAATCAACTTTTGCCAAAGCTTGGTTTTCAGATTCACAAATTTGTACAAGTGATTCGGTTTCTTGCTTGTTGCATTCTTCGGTTACTTCCGACATTTTTCCATCCAATTCCATGGAAGTTACAAGTAGTTCCACGTTTTTTCCCAGACTGCCTTTCAATTTTGCTAGCTAAAATAAACAACTTGTTTGTTACACCATAGTAAAATGGCTTGAAATTCCTAAATCAGTTTCTTATAAACTACCATTCAAAGTTATATAACAGCGTAGTTAGGCATGTGAGCTGACCTATAATATTACTAGATAAAGCATATATACATCCTGCACTATTTACGCATATCAGCAAGGACTACACTAGTGTCTAATTACTCTATTTTCGTTACCTGGTATTTCTGCAGATGGTTTGAAAAACGAGCTGGCAAACCTAGTAAACGGCGAAAAACGTATACGAAATCAGTAGCTTTAGTAGCACAAGATTTTTTCAATCCTGTCAAGAAAACGAATACAGTAATAAGCTAAGATCTCTTATGGCAGGGAAATTTTTATAAAATCAAATTTTTACTCGTATAAGCGGACTCGGACTGCACAAGTTTTTCCGAATTTTTGGACAGCAGCTCTTCAATTGAACGAAAATAGACATAAACTCGTGGAGGTTTCCTTTTGACTTCAAGAATAATAATTAGTTATTATTGATATTGGAAACATCGTTACAATGTCTACCATTAAAACCTCCTTATACTAGGGACAAAAATATTAGAGCCGAAAGGTCCATTATTTGTGAGAGCTTTTAATGTACTTGGTTACCGAAAAGACGCAAGACGCAGAATATAAGTAGAAAACATATGTTTACGTTATTAGGAAAATATTCAGAAATGTCATTTTTATCGCCAGAACAAATTAATTCTAGACCCAATCTGAATTTAAACTGAAAACTCAGCTTCCACCCTGAGAATTCAACTGTAACAAGTGAAGACAAAAAGCAAAGTTGATTGGAAGCACACTTGTCAAGACCAAATAGAATGATAGCCGAGAGACTGAGATCACAAAAAATAAACACAACTTAGTTACGATCCTTGTAAGGTACCGTTAACCCAAATTGATGTATGTTTTTCGTGTTCTTAGGCTCAATAGGGTGAAAAGAAAAAAGTCTTGGATTACAACAAAAATTTCAGGCTTGATAGAGAAAAGGCGAGAAAGCAAAACCAACAAATATAAATATATAAAGTAGAGATGAAACGGGTATTCGGTAACTATCTCGTATCCGGCCTCAATTCACTATACGCCCGGATGCCGGATATTTGCTTAATATCAGAAAGAACTCTGTAATAATTCGGGGACCTTTACCTGATCAACCTGCTCCAGGGCAGGAAACACAGGCAAACTATAACCATTATTTCTACCATCGCACTGCACCAATGCGATAAGTTTAACCAAGACACATTGTCCAAAAACCTTTTGGTCGATGGCTGCTCTCTGGAAGAAAATGTCATTTCAAGGCCCCATAAGAAAATTTAAAAGATGCCATGTTTTTGCAAGCCAATTCCTGGAACATACTGAGTTCTGAAGAAATTAAAAAATGTCGGAAAAACCTTTTGCTTTCGTTATAAATGTGTTGATTCTAAGGGAAAAATGGCTATCGGTGAACGAAGATCTGCATTAACTAAATAATACAATTTCCTAAATTCAAAATATAGTGCAACAAATCAACGCTTCTAATCAGCAACCCCATGAGCCTGAAGTTTTTGAATGGATCGTTCGGAATAAATTAAATTCAACATGCACTCTAAGATGTTCATATTTCATATTATACAGGGTGTTCCGAAACTATTGTGCCAAAAATTAAGGTATGATAGATCGCGCCAAAATAAACGTTTTTTACTTATAAACACATAGGCGCACACGCTTTGGTTATGTGTCTGTTTAATTAGAACAATTAAACCGTGATTAACCTTCGCCGGCGTAATTTGACCGACTTCGTTTATTTATATTTTATTCAATATCACGGTCAGCTTGCTATATGAGATTTTATTTAGTCACAATGTTTGGGTAATATAAAAATATCCAAAAAATTGTAAGTTGCATTTCAGCATGCATTTAAATAATTACGGTCACAATGTTTTATATTTTTGCAGTTTTTGTCACGATTAGTTTATCAACATCCAATATAAAAAGGGATGTAAGAGTCGAAATAAATCAGTATTCATCTAGCATCAAAAGGTGTTTTACTCAAATCGTTTCCTGTGCCCAAGCCTTCTTGGCCACCGCAAAGACTGAGGCTGCTCTTTGACAGAAAACGATACAATCGTCCCGCTGCTCAACCAAGCCGAGTTGGGCAAGCGTAATCTGCGAGCACAGCTTGCACATTGGTCCTTCGAGCCTAAAACCGGTCCAGAAGACTCGCTGTCCGTCCACAACGTCCGTCCATACAGCCAGTCCAGAAGACTCGCCGTCCGTCCATACAGCCAGTCCAGAAAACTCGCCGTCCGTCCATAACGTACGTCCATACAGCCAGTCCAGAAGACTCGCCGTCCGTCCATAACTTCTGGCCATATAGCCAGTCTAGAAGACTCGCCGTCCGTCCACAACGTCCGTCCATACAGCCAGTCCAAAAAATTCGCCATCCTTCCATACAACCGTACGTCTGTCCAGAATAAATAGTCATCAAAACAAGCCAGTCACCTGTCAAACACAGCAATGGCAGAAAAAGAAGAACTTGACCGTCTCGCACGAGAACAAGAAAAATCAGGAATGCAAATCGTTCAACTACTGAGTAACTGCAAGAAAGACTCGGTCGATAGGAAAACCGAGGCATACGTCCAAAAGCACTTGAACAATCTGGATGCGATACTACAAACAATCCAAAAAAACGAGGCCGCAATGATAAAAATAAAAGGGTACAGCGAAAATCAATACTTCACAAAGCAATATACCCAACAATTGTATGCCAAATTCGACGAGTTAAAGACCTACTTGCTAACATGCCCAAAGGCCAAACCTACAACAATCCAATCTGAGCCATCCAACGTCAGCATCCAAGAGAAACGGATAAAAACGCAAAACTTCAAAATACAACAATTGGAAGACACTCTCGCCCAAATAAGGTCGGAACTGACGCTAGAAAAATCAGAATTCCGCTATAAACATCTGATGGATTCAAGCAAAAAACAATGGGATGCAATTCAAAACCTGCATGAAGAAATCGCCGTTAGTGAAGATAGCCATCAAGATAAGTACTTCACTATGGATGTGTACAAACAAATCCAGAGCCAATTTGATGATGTCGTTGAAGCGTTAGCGGCAAAAATCCAGCAGAATGTCGTCATTCCACCTCAACAAATACTGGTTAATCAACCACAACAAAACCTGCAGCTACCAAAAGTGCAAATTCCAATTTTCTATGGAGGGTATGAAAACTGGTCTTCATTTTTCGACATCTTCAGAAGGGTCATCCATGAAAATTCAGCGTTGAACAAAGCCGACAAGATGCACTACTTAAAAACTAATAACAGGGGAGAAGCAAGCAAGCTAATCCAACATTTAGAAGCAATTGCGGCCAACTACGATTTAGCATGGGACCTACTACAGAAGCGTTATGAGAACAAAAGGCTTCTAATATTTAAGCTCCTAGACCTACCAGAAGTCTCGAAAGAGAACGCCGAGAAGCTAAAGCAGCTGCATGACGTCACCAGCGAGTGTCTACAAGCACTAAAAAATCTAGACGTCAAAATTGACACCTGGGGACCCATAGTAATCCGGATGACAATGAGAAAGTGGGACTCCGAAACCAGCCGTCTATATGAACAAAGTCTTGAGAAGCCTCACGACGTTCCAGAGTTGGAAGAATTTATGAAATTCTTGGAAAGAAGATTCCAGTCACTAGAACTATTCCAGGATCAGATCGGAAGCCAAGCTCAGAGAGAAAATACACTAACTCAAGCTGTCTCTTCTGCCAAGACCAACACATGACGTACCACTGTCAGAAGTTCAAAGGAATTTCAGCACAGGAAAGAAACAAATATGTTCAAGAAAAACGCATCTGCTACAATTGTCTCAGCCATGACATCAATAAAAGATGTTTCAGCCACGCAAAATGTAGCATCTGCAGTCGTCAACACCATACACTCCTACACATGGAAAGACAGCAACAAAATTCCAACAGGCAGCCCAACTACGAAGAAAGACCCACAACTTCCCAACCGCGAAATACTCAACGATACCCACTAACAAGAAGAGCAGAACATTACCCACCAAGAGGCGCAATGTCTAACCACGCCAGTAGAAATGAAGAAAACGTCCTACTCGCTACTGCTCTAGGAGAAGTGAGCACATCAAGTTCCCCTCAAGTCTTGAGGATTCTTATTCATCAAGGGTCACAGATATCCATTATTACTGAAGAAGCTGCAAATCGGCTGGGATTACCACGTCATAGTATCAGAGCACAAATCTCAGGAATTGGTGACGGAGAACCAAATGTCTCTAAATGGTCTATTGACGCACAGATCAAACCACGATTTATGAGCACATTCTCCATGGATGTCAATATGATTGTCCTTCCAAAACTTACTCAATCCATGCCAAAACGACACCTACACATAAATAGCATAGATAGTTGGAAGAATGAAGTGCTAGCCGATCCAACATTCATGACACCAGGTGCAATAGATGGTATATTAGGCGCAAAGGAATACGCCAATATCATTTTAAACGGCATGCAAAAAAGTACAGAAGGCCTATTGAAACAAAACACAGAGTTAGGATGGATCGTTTCTGGCCCAATAGCATCCGGATCTCCCGCCATCCAAGTTGTCAGCATGATCACTCACTATGAAGAAGATAGACAGCTAACCAAGTTCTGGGAAATTGAAGAAATAACCCAAACACAGCCCCTAACAGAACAAGAGCAAGCATGCGAAGAGATTTTCGAGGAAACCACAACTCGAGACTCTGAGGGTAGATTCATTGTTAGAATCCCATTTAAACAGTCAGCAGATGTATTAGGTCACTCTAAACCAAGAGCCGCAGCAAGATTCAAGAACATCGAGAGAAAGTTACATCAAGATCCCAATTTAAAATATTCTGCATTTCTGAAAGAATACATAGAGTTCGATCATATGAGGAAAGTCACCCGACATGAAGTGAATCAAGGGAAATATTACATCCCTCATCAAGCA